ACGTGTGGGCTGTTTGCGGCCGTGCATTGTGACGCGTGGTCCGTATATAAAATGAACGGTCTATCTCCCAATAGGTAGACACGAAACTTAGCCAGTGCGTACATCATGGCAAGGAGTTCCTTGTCATGCACTGGGAAATTACGCTGAGCTGCTTGCAGCTGACGCGACTGATAACAGATGACGCGCTCCGCGCCATCTGCATCAAATTGCATTAACAAAAAGCCGATGTCAAAATTTCTGGCGTCACAGACCACATGAAATGGTCTGTCATGATCTGCAATCGCCAAGATCGGCGATTGCATCAAGCTTTGCTTAAAACCCTCAAAGGAACGCTGACAGTCAGCGTTCCATGACCACTTCACATTTTTCTTAAGCAAGCAAGAAAGATGAACATTAATCTCGGCGTAGTTGCGCGAGTACTTGTGCAAGTACGCCGCTAAGCCAAGGAACTTACGAAGTCCCTTGACATCGTCTGGCACTGGCCAGTCGGTGATCGCCTTGATCTTTTCGGGATCAGGGAGTACGCCTTTTTGCCGACGATGCACCCAAGAAGTGGTATTTTTCTTGCCGCACATATACACTTCTTGAGGTTTGCATACAGCTTATGCTTGCGCATAAGTTGAAGAACCTTACGGACGTGAGTTCGGTGGACTATAACGTCCGTCTTTCCGTCCGTAACCCGAATATGGACGAACACATCGTCGAAGTAACTCGGTGCAAAGTCTCGCACCGGTCTCAACAGATTTGTGACACATCTGTTGAATGTTGCAGGGGCATTGCTCAGCCCCTGTGGCATAACTAGCCACTCCCACAGCATACCGCTGAGGGTGTTCACTGCTGTGTACGGGATATCCTGTTCACGCATAAGGATCTGATAGAATCCGTCCATCAGATCCATGGACGAAAAGATGGTACTCTTTGACATACCATCTATGATTACGTCCTTTCTTGGTATCGGCTCTGAGCCGATATCGTTGCAGCATTCAATTTGTTGAATGCGTGCACTATCCGCCATCCTCTTGTGGTCTTTTGCACAAGAAAGGTCGGAGAGCTGTGAGGGGATGTCGATTCCCTCACATGGCCCGCTGCTAAGCGATCGGCAAAGAACTTGTCGATCGCTATCACTTGTTCACGAGGCAGTGGCCACTGCTTCATGACACAGTACTTCGAGCCCGGTTTGAGCTCGATCTCGTGTCGAGTGCCTTTTTTAGGCAACTCGCAAGGTACGGATTCAGGGAACACATCCCTGAATTCGATCAAATTCTTATACAAAGGATTTACCTGAAGTGACTTCCAGGATTGGGACGCGTATCGCTCAATCCGAGTCTTCTCATCGAGGACACTTTCGTCCATCGATGAGCTGCTGAGAACCCGTTCGTTCTCAGCAAATACTGTTGCCGACCGAATGTCGGTCACATACTCGTCCTCTGTGACGAGTATGCAGATCTGCTTGACTTTGCCACTACGCAGATCACGCAAGAACCGTTTCGGTTCTAGCGTTGGCAACTGATTTATCTCCGAAGTTGACTTCGGAGGCACAATCAGATCAAGCGTGTAAGCGCCTACGCTTGATCCGTCATTAATCAAGACGTTCAACATCTCGGGTACTTCCTGGGAACTGCATTTCACAGGTTGCTGAAGGCCTAATCCTTCATCAAGTGACTCTTGAGGAATTCCTTCCTCAAGTACGTGGGGACTTATTCCCTCGACGTCTTCTGACTGTAGCTGTGCAACCACAGTCAGGCACCGATCCTCTACGGTCGACTCTCCAGTCGACCTAGGATTTCCATGTTGCCCTTTGGAGGCAACAGGTTTCTTACTTCTAAGATGCTGCCCGCTAGGCATGCATCCATGTCCCGGTCCACTCGACTTATTCGAGTGGTGGACCTTCGGCGCAGCCTGTACTCCTGTACAGCCGCCGGGAGCTTGCTCCACCAGTGTAGTGATCAACTACACTGTGATCTTGTGCAGTCGTGCTAACGACCGTACCGCAAGTGAGGCCATCGCACTCACTCGCAGAACATCCACACGCTTGTGGACGCTCCAAGATGTTCATCAGATGGCCATCTGATGAACGAGTGGCAGGCATCTTCACGGATCGATGCTGCCAGCTCACCCTTGGCTCGTACTTTCTGAGCCAAGATAATCCCAGGATGACATCAAATTTGTCATCCAGATCTAGTACGATGAAGTCATCATCGTACTGCTCGCCCTCTAACGTGTAGTGGATTCCTACTACACGTTTCTCAACGGTTATCGATGCACCTGTTGCAAGGCGCACCGTCATCCTCGTGAGGGGAATGTCGCGCTCAACGAACTTGAGCCTACGACCCTCTAGTGACTGGCGACGAACAAAGTTGTTCTATGCCCCACAGTCTACTAGGGCACGAAGCGACAAATCATTTGTCGCTTCCAACTTCAAGGTGATGTGCGAAACGTCATCACCAGGTGCAGAGACACACAATGATTGTGTGTCTGGAGCAACTTTCGTCAAGAGATTTGCAAATTCTCTTGAGGTTGCTGGATCAGTAGGGCGCTCCGCCCCTACTGACCCCGACCATTTTTTGATGGTCCGTCTCGCTGTTGCGGCCTCGCAACAGCGCTGGACCCACGCCCATTGCCCTTTCTGGAAAATGGTCGTCCATTTCGCTCAGTACTGCTTGGTACTGGGCGTGGGGCATTACACTCATGTGCGAAGTGCCCTAATTTCTAACAGCGATTGCACTTCATCAATCGCTTGTTGTTTGTAGAGCGGGGTCTCTCGCTCTCAACATAGCAGAGGTCCATTGGTTCTGTACCTCCGATCTCTTTTCTTCTTGGTGGACGGTAAGAGTTTGAGCTAGCATGAGCCTGTCTCATGCTAAAGTCTTCCTGTTCCGCGGATGATATCGCTTCTTCAAGCGTATTCAGCTCAAGGCGGAACAGGTGGCTCCTGACGGGCCCTTCTGCGAGCCCTTGAATGAACACCGTAATCAACGTGTGTTCATGAACTGGGTTAGCAGTTATACTACTCGCTAGGAGTCGTGTATGTTGTGCGTAAGCGTGCACGTCGCGCTTACCCTGCTTGATTTTCAGGAGCTCTGATCGAGCTCTAAACGAGCCCTGAACTCAGCTCGTGGCGGCTCAAACGTTTGTCTGAGCCGGGACTTGAAGTCATCTAGAGACCTAAACACATTTTGGTCGCTACTCTCGAGTCCCAGGGACCAAGTTTTGGCACGCCCTGCCAAGTGGGTCTGAGCAAATGTGAGTTTCATCTGCTCATCTTCGACGCAACGAGCCCTTAAGGCTCTGTCGAGTTCGACGAACCACAATAACAGGGAGTCCTCCGGGACTCCTCTGTACTTGGAGATGTCAACCTTCATGACCTCGGGACGACGCGCATGTGCCGTCCCGCCCACAGCAGCATGGAATTGCTGCTGTCTCAACAGCTCTGTCTATTGAGCACCGAGTTCTCTCAACCGCTCGGCCTGTTGAGAGCCTTGCTGGTGAAGCAAGGCTACTTTCACCCTTTCGGCGACAAGTTCACTTTGGATGAACTTGGCTATAGCGGCATGTTGTTGGTCTCTGTCTAGAGACTCCAACATGGCCCTAATGGCGAACTCGCCTACGGTAGAACTCATTCGTTCTACCGCAGCCCATTCGATGTCACTCAAATGGGTAAACCCTTCACGCGTGGCGTGAAAGGTCTCTTCATCATCCAACATGTTCATGTTGGATGTTGTGGTCCTTGGAAGGACTACAAAGTGCTACCAGGTGTAACGGGGCACACCCTTGCGTGAACTTAACGCAAGGTTTTCGGGTGCCCCGACAGACGTACACGAGGCAAACGAGGAAGCTTAGACAAGGAGAAAGTAAAACTGTTGTATTAATATAATTAAGTCTTTTTGCTACTGTCTCTCTGTTTAACCTGACTTTATTATGTTAATATAACTGAGTGTATGGTGACGTCTCGTCACCACTCATTGCGCGCGTCTTGCGGCGATTGGTGGGTTGATATCATCACGATATCAATCAATGAGCAGACCCTTTGGTCGCTTCACCAATATCACGATTATCGGTGATATTGTTCAAAGAATATTCACTTAATATTCTTTGTTGTCACTTTCTTTTAAAGTGACACTTCCATGTAACGGGCTGCCCCGTTACACTGAAGATGCTCGAAAACAGGCTATGAGCGCAGCTGACTCGGAACAGGATCGCGACATCGCAAAGTTTGTCCATGATCGACATTGTGAGGTTCTGATGGAGGAGACGACAGGATTCGATCAGCCTCTTCAATGCGTACTTTGCAATCGTGTTCGCGCAGCGGGGAAGTCAAAATGGAGTAAAGTGAGCTTTGCGGCACTACTTGTGTTCCATGTCTTGTTGTACCATGTCTGTCGTCCTGCCTACTCTATGTAATGGTCTGTTGCAACTGTCTTGTGATTCAATAGCCCGGGTAGAGCCAATGTGCAAAGTTGGTGGTAGTACTACTACTGCAGACGTCTTTTGGGTAAGAGCAAAGAAGACGAGAGGACTCGAAGCAGTGCTGCTGGTACACGAAAGAAGAGCAAGCTCCAGAGCCGCGATTTCGTAGGAAAACTCTTGTCTAGTGATTACGATAAAGCTACGGAGTTAGGATCATACGGCGTCTGACAAGTATGGGGTATGATGCTTGTATGGCGTAAGCGAATGTAAAGCATCTCGAACGCTCTGTCCGTAGACGAATGAGCGCCAACATCGAGATCACGGAACACCTTCATCGGGATCGCGACAGGGATCTCATTGACTATGACGTGCACAGTGCTGCTACGTATCGTTATCCAACGGCGAATTGACACTCCTTACCTCGCTTCAAGCTTCACAGTTTGACGTACTCCAACCAACAGGGACCACTAAAGTCCTTCTGGCACTACACGTGCGCACAGCTATGACATCACCAGTCCAAGACCATCTCAAGACCTTTCTTGCACGTCTCCCGATGACATAGTCCTCATTCTTGCGCGTTCATTCCCCCCCGCTCAACCACCGAGTCGACGCAAGGCGGCTTCACTCATTAACTTACGCTTGTGTCCATTGACACAGTCGGTGGAGCAGTACTTGTACTCCAACCGGGTGAACGGAGACTTGCCGGCATACTTGCCACACAAATCACAAGCCATACCTGCAGCGATTTTACGCTCTATCTCTTCCTGACGCGCAGCTTCCTCTTGCTTCTGCTGGGCCACTTCCTTTTTCTGCTGTTTCTTGCGCTCTCGAGCACGCTTTCGCTTCTCACTTTCCTTATCCTTCTTGCGTTGTTCCATATCACTTGTCAAAACTTCCGGAATTTGCGCCGTGACGTAATCCCACGCGTCCGGATGCTCCCCCATGTACCTACGGAACGCATTCCGAGTTTCTTTCGAGCTGCACAAAAAGTACGGAGGTCGATTGTGCAGATCCAAAATGGCCGGGTTGGCCCCTTGCTCCAGCAGAAACCCCACCAACGAAACCGCGTTCTTGGCTGCAGCGTGATGCAGCGCTGTCATACAGTTGGCATCTGCTTCATTCACTTTGCTGTACCTTTCTTCACCACCAGACAACAGCAGCTCCTTTACACCGTTAACGTCGCCTTCGTTCACCAGCTGAATAAGGCGAGGGACCTCTTTTACATCATCTTCGTCCTGCTGGATACTACAGGTCTCAATATCAACTTTGGGCGCGATATCGTTCGTCTTCTTCGTTTTCTTCTTCACTTTATTCGCATTGACAACAGAGACAGCCGTTGCTACGTCAAGGGGTAAGAAGCGAACGCTGCTGAGGTCCGAACGTACGCGGCACACCTCTTCAAACGTCGGTCGGAATGTGGCGAAAGGAATTCGTTTCAACCTCTTGTCACCTGAAGCACAGCGATTGCATCAACAAAGTGGTCAGCAGCAAATTCACGGTACACGTAGCACCGCTGGGAGCAGCGCACCTGGCTGCAACACTGCATTCTTCTCAGGGAAAAAAGTCGCACGCTCTGTCTTTCCACTTGACAGAAAAATGAGCTCTGCATCCTTCAACACATCCTTCCACTCTACAAGCAACGCCACCACGTCTTGCTTGAGTGCCACTTCATTGTACCGCCGCAGAGTAGCTCCTGCTGACTTTGCCTTGCCACTGGCGTCACTCGCGGACTGCGCGCCACCTTGCTTCCGTCGCGTCGTGTACCGCTGGAACGTCTTATGACACAGTGCCTTGTCTTTCTCGAACACAGCGCCAGCAAAACGACCACTGCGCAGGAGCAACACAGCCCATCGAAACTTGGACGCGCAGATTCTGTCTAATGACGTGTATGGGTTGAAACCCTCCTCGTCGACATCTGGCAAAATGTTCTTAAACACCTGCTCGCATCAACAACACCATCGCACACCAGTAAACGTCACACCACTGTGTGTCTCGACACTCGCTCGGCACTATAGCTCGATGTACACCACCTTAAATACGCTCTTGCCGTCTGAAAACTCGACCACTGGCTCCGACCCTGTAGCCGTCTTCACCTCGTCCTCTTCCTCTTCCTCAGACCATGACGACGACGACGACGACGACACGTACCCTCCGTCCGTCACTTTCTCCTTCTTCGTCTCCTCTTTCTTCGTGCGCTCCTCAATATACTGAAGCGCCTGCTCCTGCGACAGACTGGGCAAGCCACGCGCTCGACGCTTGAGGTTCACACAGTGAGCTGCCGACTTGAAGTGCGCGTACTGCTCGTCCAAAGACGCAAATGCAGCCACATCACACGCTCCACAGCGAAGACCAGCGATCGTACGCTCGTCCAGCGCTGCTGTCTGGAGACGCAGCGCAGTGGCAGTCACGTCTGCAGCACATGACGCGTCGTCGGTCATACGTGGCCGCTCGAACGAGCGCGCGGCACTGCCAGCGACCGATCGCACAGTCCATTGGGAGGTCTGAGCGGGAGTGAGGTCGCTCAGTGCGATGCGGCCGTACGAAGTCGGCGCGGCCTTCTTGGACACCATAGCCACAATGCCGGTGCGGCAAGAAAAGTCACGGGCGCGTGCAAACAAGTATTGTTTTTTGTCAAATGTGCTTTTTTGGCGTCGTGGAGACATAGCCGCCGGGGTCCACACCAAGTGTACACGAATTCGACGGACGACATCGAATATACCTGCGAGATGGAATAACTGCTCCACTCGCGCGCCATCGAACCTGAATGCCGTCGTCGTCTCTCGAGCAGCACAAGCAGCGTCTGGCGTCGTGCGGCACGGGCTTCAACGTCCGTCTCTGGTGCAACAAAGACCCATGCGGCATCGTGTGCGCTGTCATCTCGTGGCTACTGGTGCTGTACGCCGAGTACACCGTCGTGGTGGGTCCTCCTCCTTCTCCTTCTCCTTCTCCTTCTTCTTCTTCTTCTTCTTCTTCTTCTTCATCTTCTGCTGTCGTAGTTGTTGTTGTAAGAAAAGGACACGCATGTTGACTGACACGACTGCTTTTTCTCTGCATGTCTCAGGGCGTCGTAGTGTACCCGTGGATGGGCCTGTCGCCTCTGAGTCTGCTACACATGTTTTTGTTCTCGAGCATTTGCTTCTTGGCGCTTGTGTCGCATGGAAAAGGTCTTTGTTTCTAGCTGGTGAGGGGTCTGGATGACGAGAAGTGACGCGCTTTTGACACGGATGTGGTTGTCGTTGATCGTGTACTGCACTCCCAGCGATGTTGACGGATCCGGGAGCTGTTCCAGAGTCGGCGCTGCCATTGGCATTGGCACATGCGTCGAAGGACGAGATACAGAGGTGATGAGAGGGAGTGCAACCTAGCTGTTGCCATGATTGGGGCCGTACAGCTGACGAGTGCGATGTTGCGGCTACTGCTTTTATTGTGGTGCTACCGTAGACTAGAAGAGCAGAAGTACCGGACGTGTCGTCGATGTCGACAGTTTAAACCAAGGCGAGCGCATCATTGCTCGGTCTGCGATCGCTGCGTCATAAAGATGGACCACCACTGTCCCTGGGTGAACAACTGTGTAGGTCTGGGCAACCACAAGTTCTTTCTGCTCTTCATCTTCTACGTGTTCGTGCTGTCTGTCTACGCGCTCACGCTCGTGTTCTTCCGTTACGCCAAATGCATCAACGAATCGTACGTGGCTTGAAAAGGTGGCGTATCCTTCATTTTCAGTGTGAACTTGCTCGCTAACTTGCTGCTGTTATGTTGACATGACGCTAGATGTCCTTCTTACGGAGCGATCCGAGTTGTCTGCTTGATCCTGGAATCCGTGCTGTTTGGACTCTTCACCATGTGCATGATGTGCGACCAGTACAGCGTGATTACCACGGGAACGACGCAAATTGACCGCCTGAAGGGCGAAGTCGCAGCTAGCCTTGGTTTGCGCGAAGTCTTTGGCGGCGCAGACTGCAATTTCGCATTACACTGGCTTCTTCCAGTGAACATTTGGTTCCCCTCGTAAGATAGAAACACCTGCAGCTCGCGTACGGTCGTCTACGAAACTCATCGCTGCGTGTCGTCTGTTTTGTTTGCCCAGGTCGGTCAAGAACCAGGTGCTGGGCTACTTGATGGAGCACGAGCTGACCTTTTCCGAGGACGAAGCCACGGAAATGGATACGTTCTTGGACGACGATAGCGTACCTAACTCTGCTATCACCATGACAACAGAAACGCTGGAGGGAGGATGGTCAGTGGAAAAGCGAGTGCCGGCTTCTGGCGCTCCTGACATCGTGTAGGAGGTAAACCACATTGGATCGTATAGTATTACAGTTTGAGCAATGCGTGTTAATTCCAGCGCTACAAGACGTGGTGGATGATATCATCACCGATCGCCAGACAGCTCTCTCGTTGACGCACTTGTTTTCCCAACTCCTTTTTGCTCTCTTTCTCTGAACGCGTGAGTTTGGAGTGCGCTGACGTTTCTCGTGCAGTTCAGTCGTCGCGTCTACTATCGTTGATGCTCTGCATGCCGAGACAGACGTGTGAGATGGGTTCACCGTCGTACAAGGACTGCATAGTAAAACGTCTGAGCCGACGTTGTGTCCGCGGATTACCATCGATGTCATTTCATACTCACCCGACGAAAGGCGCGTGTCGGTGCGCACATACGGCAAAGATGCAACGCGAACTATGGTGAAGGTAGGTATATCGTACAGACAAGGTATTAGGAGGGCTGAAGATAAAGAAAACTTGCGCAAACATGGCTACACTGATAGGTTCTAGCTTTACCCGTGCGCCACGGCCACATACGCTGCAACTGCCTCCTCGGCTTCCATGATGCTAACTCAGGCGAGCACGCCCGCATTCTTCAGCGCACGGTGCGCATTGCACGCGTGTTTCTTCAGACGCGGGTCCTCAATCTTCTGCCACTCCTTCACAAGCTGCAACACGCGTCCAGCACTCTCGGACTTGGCAAGTTCGTCGTAATACAACGGGCATAGAGTCTCTACCACATGAAGACTCTCTCGTTGCACCTCGGGCTTCACGTCGGAGCCACCGGCAGCACAGTTTATGATAAACTGCCAGCCATCGGATTGAATAAACGCCTGACGGCACTGCGGGTGATCGCACAGCCGTGCGAGTGCAACACTGACCAACCGCGCGACATTTGTGTTTTGATCTTGACCCAGCTGCACAAGCTGAGGCACAAGGCCAGACATTCCTGCCCTTGTCTCCTCGCAAGTTGACATGGAGATGGCCCCCAAAACACCCTGCATCTGAGCGTCAACGTACTTGCTCTCGAGCAAGCCCTTGAGCGCCGATACACCGTCCTGAATACTTTCCGGAGACAGAGGCAGTTTCGGTAGCGGCTTCGGGGCCGCACGTTTCACGCCGTTCGTCGACACGGTCTTGTCACTGAGCAGCTGGCTGCGTCGAAACAAGCTCTTCAGCTCGTGGTAGAGGTGCATGAGCGCCGTGATGTCGCCGTCCCGACGCTGCACTTCGAGAATGTACTCGTCTTTGCTCGTCTTGTAGATGACAATATTGAGGCTCACGCGCTGCGTGTGGCGGCGGTACTTGACCTTCCACTTGCACTTGTCCGCCTTGAACTCAAAGTCCGTGTCTAGCTCACAGAGTTTGATGCTCACGACGCCGCACACGCGCTGCGTCGACTCGAGTTTCACGTGGAAGTGCGTGTGCAGCTCCAAACGGAACGGCGCTGGTGGCAGCGCGCGCATCGTCGCGTTCACGTACTTCGTGCGGTCCACGCGCGGGCCAAACGAGGGCGACGCCGTTGCGGTGTCCGACTTTTTGCTGACACCCCCCGACTTCTTGGAGGTCATGTTGAACGCCATGGGGCCGGGAAACGCGGAGCTCAGCTGCCCGATCGGGCCACGGGGTCCCATTGTGCTGAACGACGGTGGCGCGACGGCCACGGCCATCGAGCGGTACTGTGGGCGGGCAGCTTCGTCGTTCGGCGTGAGGGTGCGGAACAGAGGCTTCCCCTCCTGCTCCTCTTTCTTGTCTTGACGAGGGCTGCTCATGTCTGCTCGTCTCTCTATCTGTCTGTTCGTCAGTCTGTCGGACTCGCCGTCTATTTGTTTGTCTGGTTGTCGGTCGGTCGGTCGGTCGGTCGTCCGTCTGCTTCTTTGCTCGATTCGCACAATCGGTCGATCGACTTGTGGCCTACCAGGAATATCTGTGAGTGAGACCCTCCGAAGTTTCGGAAAAAGAGGCTCCAGCTGGATCGGCTATGCACAGCAGACGGGCCAGATTTTCGCACACAAAGAACGTTCCTCCGCCGTCCTGGAGCACCCTCCGGGTACATAATCGCGTCAGACAAGCGCAAGCGAGCGTTCGAACGAGCAATGTCGACGATGGCACAAGAGCGCGCGCTGCCCCACCTGCGAGCGAGCGCACTCGAAAGCTCGATCGCTTCTACTCCCCTCGTCGCCGAAATAGCCGCAAAGGGCGATCAGACGTCATAAGGTGGTGGCGTGGGTCGCAGCGTTTCGGACAGCTGGGCCGCTGCTTGGCGAGTCCGTGGACGACACTGGCCATGTAAAATGTCTACTCGGTAGCGTCGGGTTTCCGAGCGCCCAGCTGACTTTTCTGTGCGCCTGCGATTACCCGCTTGTTTGTGGCGTCTGTGGCACAGTCACGCTGGGAAGAACTTATCGTAGCTAATTCAATTTATGTCGAATACGTCACGCGGTTTCAGTATCAGCAACACACAGTCTGCTCTTCCCTAGAACAGGAAGCATAACAACATGCTGTGAGGTTCTTTTTGCAAAGAACCGCATCATTCGGTGCTGTCGATGGGAACACGTCAAACACAGCAGCGTGTCGACGCCACGCCAGCGGTCTCTCTGTCTGCACAAACAGAACCAGCATCAACCTGCTCCACGCGTCCATTCTAGCCATTTGTGCTGCTTTGCCCTGCCAGGCTTCGCTCAAGAATTGGCTTGCACAGCCAGAGATCGGAGACATGTTTGCAAATAATTCATGTGTTGCTGCGCATGCAGGAGTTTCTGCGCTTTGTGGCAGAAAGGTAGTTACACCGCGCTTACGATCGACAGTTCTCCTCTTCCTGAACAGCTTGTGCTGTCCCACGAAAACGATGCAGCGTCTCTGGCCAGCAAGTTTCTACCAACATGCGCTCAACTTTATGAAAACTGGTCGGGAGTCGGCCAGCTTCTTGACCTCCTCACCGCATCGGAGTCGATATCACCCCTCACCCCGTTGAGCTACGAGTGCGTGATCGATCCATGTACTCGCAGTTGTCCAGCTGCGTCCTGCCTAGGCACAGGTGCTCAGATTGCCATCCGGTTAGGGGAAACAAGCGTCTGATTCTGCTGGCGGCAAGATCTGTTCAGCACAGTAGCGCTTGCAGCACGTTTTAAGCACACATCAGGGGTCGGAAAGAAGAAGCCGCGAACATGCTGCGCTTTTTTCTGCACACTGCCTTTCGCCAACCTCACCAGATGGCTGGCAGACGGGCCAACCTCAAAGCTGTGCATCGAGCCACGCGCTACCACTCATGCCCTCCGACGGCCTGCCATCACTTTCGTGACGCTACTTCTCTCAGCAGGTGCGCAAGAAGCAACCGTGGCGTCTGCTGGTGGATCGACGCACGGCCACGACTCTTAGCACTGCCACTGATTTATATTCGCGTGCGATTGCAGCGCTGCGCCCGACCAGAACGCGCGGTGGCGGCCAGCAACCTTCGCCACATGGCCGCACAGCGCGCGGCTATTTCGGTCAGCTGCCACGGAAGCAGCGACGAATGCGGGTTGGTAGCGAAACGGGCAGTGTCTGTGGCTATTGATCGCCGCTCCGATCTGAGCGACGGTCAGCAGATGGATACTTTCGCACGCAAGGTGCTGGTCGGACACCCCTATTGATCCAGTCGAAACTCGATCGTAGAAAAAGCGCCCATGTCTTTGCGCCGTGGCATCGTCTAGACTCGACACGGTCGAGAGATGAGCCTGCAGTGGACATCGACTTGATCTCGTTTGCTGCTAAAGCGTGCTGAGACACACCGTTTGTGGTCACTGCTTGCGATGCGCATCGAAGCAATGATATCTGGCAACGCTCTCGTGAAACTCCTGGTGAAATGATCTTCTGTGTCACACAAAGGCGGGTCGCATGTCGAGCATGATTACAGACCGCGTCGCAGCAGCATGTGCAAGGTGCGATCATGGGCGTGCAGGGCAGCATGCCGTTTGACTATGCGCTTACAGGTTCCTGTGGGTTCTGCTAGCCGAAGTACATAGCTGGCGGTCATCTCGGCATGCGACAGAGGCAGTTGCTGCGATGGTGGAAGAGTCGGGCAGAGTGTTGTCGTAAAGTGCCCTGACGAGACGTGGATCGCCCGACCACTTCGATCGACGTACTCGATTGTGAGCTTCTACGCCAGGCACTGAGACGCGTTGACATGGCTGTCGGTCTATCATCACGCGCTAGAAGGGAGAACAATATGCAATGTACGGCATGCTAAAGTCGGTTGGATGTGAGACGTTTGAGGGGGACTACGTGTTTTGCAAAGATCGTGTCAGTCGTGTCGCGTAGACGCTCTGGAGATAACTTGGTGGCAACTGGAGAAGACACCGCAATGAGGAAGATGCGGTGCAGTTAACGGCCGAGTACAGCTGACTGCACCGTCATCCGTAGCCGAAGCGGTGAGAATGCAGTGTCGAAATCCACAATCGATACCACCTGTTCGGTCTTGATAGCTACAATGAGATTTAATGGATTTCACCGTCATGTTCAATGTCAGCCTTTCCACACCTTCCTGGCAATCATGGCAATGGCTGGACCAGAACTACAGGAGTCCTCGTCTCGTTTGACAGACCAATGGTGATGGTGCTCTTTCCCTCAAGCAGCATTTGCTCGAACTGCATATTTATACCGCGTTTTGCTGAAACTGCCCACAGTAGGAAACACCGAGCAAGGATGGTGACGTCCATGATGCTTACGGCAACAACTGGGTGTAGCGAAGGCGGATAGAACGGGCGATGGAACCACAAAGAATGGCCAGCAGCACTTACGACAATGATCGTAGCTCTGTTTGTTGGGAGACGATCGCGAGTGTGGAGGCAGACTAGTGCAGCCACACACGGCCTCTATCCGTGTGCGCAGGGCTGATTTCCAGGTCACGGTAGTAGCATAGGATGTGACGAGTCTACTGCTCCTACTCGTGCCTGGTCTCGACTTTTCCGGTCCAGACTAGTGCCAGATATTGGCCTGACATACTTGCCACATACTGGTAGATGATGGATGGATTCTACTCCAAATTAATCTACGACTACGCTGAGAACAATCTGATGGATGGATGGATGGATGCTGAAGCAATCAGTTAGGCACGGTAGAGTAACATGGTCTTTATACATTCTCAATCTTACCTTCGACTCCGCAAGACCCTCTCAAGTAAGGCTAGCGGACCGATCACCCCTCTGCAAGCCAAGGGTGTGTCAGGCCTTTCTGCGGGTCGTCGACAACAGGCTTTGCACACACCTGTCACCTCGTCATTCCGGATCTAACGTGACGACATCAGCTCGTAGCGTTATACTCGACGCTCCGCTTCATACCGGCTTGTCGATCCTCTTGAGTATACTGCAGCACCAGTTGTTGCATTCTTACTGCCGAAAGTCAACGCCACCACAAGCGTTTGTTTATTTACGTAGTCCAAGTCCAGGGTGGAGCTCAAGCGCGAGGGAGGCTGGCAGAGATGCTGCAATACTTCGATGTTAGCTAGTGATTAGCCGAAAGTAGCAAATTCCAGCCAATCAGACCCCGATATGCAGTGTCGCTTACTTTTCAATGACGCGGCTGTTGCATGTGGCCAAAGCAAATTGTATCATCGAGCACATTGTGCTGGGTTTTGTGATCCAAAGCACGTGTCGCCATACAGAACCAGCCAGGGCTGCCGAGCAATGGTCTTTATGAGCCTGCTGCATGCTTTCATAGGGGCACACTAGTTATCCAGAAGTATCCGCGGTTGCCTGTCACATCGATGTCCGTCGGTCGCTTGTCCCTTTTCGCGATTGTTGCTGACGTGCAGCGACTTTCGCCTCAATCGATTATACTCATCCGGCAGCGTGTCGTAGCATACTGTAAGTGGAGACACGCGTGTGTGAATGTGGACAGAACACTGACCTGCATGCGTTCGACGGCCTGATCTTTCTCATCCCGTTAATGTCATGGATGTCTTCGAATGTGTTTTGTGCAGCAGTGGGTGTTCTTAGTCAGTATGTTACTCACTGAGTCTTTGCGTACCTGCTAATCTGTACAATTCGCTAAGCGTGGACGCCCAATCGGTTATGTTTCTCTGCCTTGCACCGCTTTTAGAGCCTTTGCATACCGTTGCTCAGCAGGGGTCCAAAGCTCTGTCAAAAGTTCCTTCTTTGCCAAATCGATCGGTGACTGTGTTCGCTATGAGCGTTACCACGTGGGCGATCTTGTGGCACAAAGGGGCGATGCCGGAGTTTGGCAGCGCATTGCAACGAACAGCGCTGGACACAAGTTTGAGCTCATAAGATCGAGGTATTGCACAAGCCCGAGTTTCCGGCTTCATACCTGCAGCATGTTGTGCCATATGACAGTATGAACATATCCCTTCTGTACGTTCACGAGCTTGTCGACGCCCACATTCGTTCTTTGGATACTACGAGTTTGCTTCTGATGCAGTCACACGATTGTCACTGCCAATAGGCCTTTGTGCAGAACGAGAACGCGGTGACGAGGCACGTGAGGGGGGCATCATTTTGTATATGCAACGCCTTATTGATATTGCCCTGTCAAGCTTTACGTGCATGCGCATGGAAGCCGCAGCGGCAGGAAACGCCTAGTTGCCAGGGATACTCGTGCACTCACACATCTCTGTCCTCACGCGTGACGTTATTAAATACGTTCAATGAGATACTGCCTTCTTCGTGCTTGTGACCGAGTTCTCACTGTAAGCAGTCATGCCAGCCTCGATACAAAGGACAAACTTGCCGCCACCAATTTACGTCTTGTGTCCCGAGCAAAAATGAACGACAAAACAGTTATGGTATCGATTGGCAGGGAACGACCCCAGGAAGTGGTGATGACGCAACGAAAAGAGGACAGTTACCAAGGCCGTCCATTAACACCGATCGAAGAAGTAGCAGAATAAGTCCCCTGTGCTCAAGTGAAAGGTTTTGCAAAGCAAGTTGAAGTGACCATCATTCCCGTGCGCACTCACGAAACGGCCTCCAGTCTTGAAGTTGCACGGTGCCGAGCAGCCAGCGAGTGCGCAATGGACGGAAAAGCTGAGTCTTGTGCAGAACTTGACGAAAGCGCGGTGAGACCACCACGCTACGGCGTCCCGGCGCCAGCTGGAGCTCTGACCTCCACCGCAGACACTGCTTCTCGTCCATTCGCTCCTGGTCGTGGAGGCGCACGCGGTCCAGCGTCCACAGAAGTCGACCCCAAGTCGTCGTTTCTCATTACTGCTGTAGCAGAGAACCGCGCGCGCGAGATCGGTAACGACTTGGCTGTAGGATGGAAAGCAGACGCTGTGCTACTTGGTTGTGACCCCGAGTCTGTGGCCAGGGATCTGTGCGATCGACTTGCTGTCGCCGTACGAGTTGCTCCTGTGGACAGTGATTGACTCGCACTCGTACGTCGATACCATGGCACTGCTTCATGCCTATCAGGTACGAGCAGTTGATCCCGCACGGAGCTCGTGTGTTCACGCTGACGCAAATGTCTGAGCAGCCGGTGGAGATCCTCGTGGTTGAAACGTCCAAAGCGCGCAAAATCAACGATGAGATCTCCAAGCGCTTTGGTGGTGCAAACTGTCGCATTGTACCACTTGCGCGGAAGTACTTTGAGTGAGTTGCGAGAAAGCTGCTGGTTGAGTCTATGTGTCACTTGCTTTCGGTGACGAGTATAGCTGTTGGCAGCCAGACCAAAGGAGCAGAAGACATCAAACGCGTGATGGCAAACAACGTCGACATCAATATCGGACGGGTATGTTCTCGTTGCCGTTTGTTTTGCTGTAGCAGCTGCTGCTTTAACGAGGTCAAAACGCTGCTAGAATTACGTTGCCATGGCCGCTGTGGCGTGCGTAATGAAGTACGTTGAGTATATACAGGGAGTCTACATCGCGGAAAAGACGCTGAAGGTTGTCGTGCGAGGCGATTTGTTTCATCGTTGTCGAAATCTGATCAAATGACACGGTGGGACTAACAGCTGCATTTTTACAGGTTGTGCTGAGCCCGTCAACGCGTAAACTGCTGATGGACCAAGCAACGGTTTCCGCTCTGGAGTTGATCCAAGGCACACGAGGAACAAGTGACAGCCAGGTATATCTCAGGTCGCGCTGATACCATTTGCTGTCCCTCGTAGTGTTGCTTACGACACTGCGTTTGTAAGTCTCTATACAAGATGCTGAAGAACACGCAAACCATGGCCGGGAATCGACTGCTCCGGTCGACGGTACGCATGCAATCAATGAGATGATACGATGGCATATCTAACTCAGGCGTCTGCTCCTCGTTAGATGCTGCAGCCGACGTGCCACCTGAAAACAATGTATCGTGCTTTGCTCTCTCTCTGCATCTTTTGTAGGTACGGCCTGGCCTTATCAGTTCGTGCGCTCCAGTCAGGCACGCCACGAAGTTGTTGGAATCTTCCTCGATAACCCTGCGTGGTTTTTCGATGTAATGGAAGAGCTGCGGGACTTCGTCGACCTGGACCGCTTACTGGTTGGTTGAACCTGCTCTTATGGTGGTAAACACGGTGTGATCTGATGAGCGCTCTTTTGTCTCGTAGGGCCAACTCGTTTTCATTCCCAAAGTAGTTACACCTCGAGTTTCACGAATCGCCATCGGCAGTGTGATCGCGCTTAAGCACACCTTGGATTGTTTGCCAAAACTAGTTTCGTGTCTGGAATCAACCTCAGCAAAGCTCGATAAGCCTTGTCTTCTACTCGACTCGATCATTCAAAGGTACGCTCGATGCACGATATACTGTTGATACGTCTCGTCCAACCGTGCATCAAGCTTGTGCGACGAACAGTTTACAGGGATAAAAGCCGATATTGAGCGAGTTGTGAACGACCGGTACGATCGATGTGAAACCACAGCACTCTTTTGCTTGTCATTCTCACCCACGCTTTCCAAAAAGAGTCAAAATTTGTCGCTCGGCTGCACAGAAGCGCATCCAAGAGTGCTTTGCCGTTCGAGCAGGAGTCGACGGCATGCTTGACGTAGCACGACGATCCTACCTCGATACGATCGAGAAGATTCACGAGGTCATTCACATGTACAAGGAGAACCTCGGAATTCCCATTCGACTGAATTACACGTAAGCTACTAAATGGGGTCGAATGAGGCATGGCAAAGGTGACATTTTGGTCTTACGGAACTACTGCAAGTAGGGCTCGAAGAGGATACCATCTGGCTGTTCCCGTCAATACGAAGGATTTGCCTGCAAGCTTCATTGAACGGGTGACAACGAAAACAGGTGCTGTGGTACTGAACACAAAGCAGTGTTGTGTCGATCTGACGTTGGAAGTGCTTGCCGTCAGTAATCTGCTGCTCTACAAAGCCACTGGTTTCTCTCAACGTGCGGCTCAACGAAGCGCTCACCGCGGTCTACAAGCTATCGAACGATGTCATACAACAACTCCTTGACAAGATCCGCCCTCGATCTTCAGCCATGCACGCGATGGTTGAAAGTGTCGCGCTTCTTGACATGCTCCTAAGGTACCACACCGTGTTATGTTTGCATAATATTGGCAGTGAAACTCACTTGGTCTGCAGCTTTGTACACGTTGTAGCCCTGTCGCCACCGGACAAGCCATGTAAACAGAGAGACACATCGCACTATCACACTGTGCAATGGGTAGCTCACGATATGCGGCATGCTTGGCCCTGTAGACACAAAGCCAAGTATCACTGAGCATGGCAACTTGATCATCAAGAAAGGGAGGCATCCGCTAGTTGAGCGTGTGATGAAAGATCGGGCTTACATCCCAAGCGACACGGTAAGTGCCTTTCGGTAATCGTCCTTCTCTGTACATGCTCAACATACAATGTGTCTGTCTGCTGTTGGAGCAGTTCTTTGACCCGCTGAGCACTTTCCACAGTAAGATACTTTACCAGTAGAGTTCAATGCCCGTGGACTAACGTACTTTGGCGATCTTCCGATGAAGTTATTACTGGTCCTAATTGCGCAGGCAAGTCGACATATCTGCGAGCGACAGCTCTGATTACAATACTGGCCCAGATGGGGTGCTATGTCCCAGCCTTTGAAGCTACCATTCCAATTCGAGATCGGATCTGCACCAGGTTCGGAACCTCTGACGATATGGAAGAAAACGCGAGCTCTTTCGCGGTTGAGATGACTGAGACGGCTTTCATCCTGGAATCGTGCACGGCAAAGTCATTGGTGCTCATTGACGAGCTGGGCCGAGGCACAGCCATTGACGAAGGCGTAGCGATCGCATGGAGCATCGGCGAGGAGATGATCCATCGAGGATCCTACACTTGTTTCGCAACTCATTATCACCAACTCAATCGTCTTGCTCGTCTATATCCTCGCTGTCGGAGTTACCACATGGGCACTGAATCGAACACAGTACGTTTCTAAGCCTCTGCCAGATTAGCCAGACGCATTGCCTAACTTCCGTGTGTGTCAGAATTCTGTGCATTATCGCTGCGTGTTGAAGGATGGACCCTACCCATCGATTGGTATGTACGGCATCAAGACAGCAGCGCTGAGCGGTTTGCCAGCTGAAGTGATCCGCGAAGCAGAGCGCATCTACGAGAAGATGTGCAGTGAACGCCAAGCTGCCGAAAATTCGATCGACCAGGCCTCCACGACTGATGACACGAGCAGGATCAACAGGAACCTTCTTCACCATTTATACGTGCTTCGTTACGCAGGTCTAGATAACGCAGGTAACGCGGATGAGGTGCTAGTACTGTATTGGTAACACCAAGCTGACTTGCTTGCTTCTAGGTCTGCGACGTCAGCTACAACATCTGAAGAACCGCTTCCTAGCCCCGGCAGGATGAACCCTACTCGATTACTTCAATTGTTCAACTGAGCGCCGATCGTGGAACAGACGGGTCCTAACGCACATGTGCGTCAGTAGCACAATCGAGATGCTCGGGGTGAGCACGGAACTGCGACAGGGATGTTGTAGTGATCATCACGTTGGGCTCTGTAGTGGTGACAAAACTTCCCGAATCGGAACACGGATGACTGCATTCCCGCATCTGTGTTGCCTCTGGCCATTTAGTTCGACAGCACTGTCGGTATCTTCATTCAGCGCTTCTGCTTCACTGCAGCAGCAGTAGACGTCATTTACTACATGGCGAAACTCTGTACATCAGGTCCTAGCAGAAGCTAAGCATGTGTCGGCGAAGCGCCACGTGACCGACCCGCGCCATACACTTGTACGATGTGGCGTGGATTGGTTTCTTCATTAGGGTACTATAGAAGAAATTGCCACCTTATGGTCCTGCCTGTCTTGCATCGATCACGAAGACGGCGACTGATGACCGCGTGCAATCTGTCCACCACTCCACCTGACACGCTCATCTCTAACGACAAAACACCGCTACTTGACGCCATCAGCGCGTCGTTTACGACACGTACGTGCCCTTCGTACTGTCTGTTGATAGAAATCGTTCACCACTTCATACTGTATTATTGCGAGATTGGAGCCGTGATTGCAACTGGCACACTCAAAAGCGAGTTCTCGATAACCTCATTTGCGTCTTCGTCAAATCTTTCCACGTCCATGATGAAGTGTGCTGATATGGATGCATTTGGAGGCGTAGTATCAAAACGAACGTCGACCTACAAACAAGAAGGCAGATACAATCAGCAAGTGAGGCTAAAACACGACGCTACGAGCCAGCTTACCGGAAGCTTGACTTTGATGAGATTGCGGATGGCTTGTAGCAACATCGGGTTACGCTGGTCACCATTAGCACCAAATGGTGATTCATCGTCGACAAAAGCATCAGCGATATTCGGGTCTTCATACGGCCCAACGATGATTGGAGTCAAGTCTTGTAATACGACCTAATACACACCATTGTTACTCATGACACCCACATCTGCTAGATATGTGCGTGTAGCGTACCTCTCCGATCCCAGGCAACTCTTTGTCAGCGTCAAACGGAGGGGCAGCACGGAACGTAATGCGAATGGCGTCGTCCAGAGGGTTTTCCACAAGCAAGACGCATTCAACACCACCGTCACGATCGCGATACGGTAGGCGCTGGAACGTGACGATGGGTACGAACTGCGCGGCCAAGTTGGCTTTCTTAAACCATGACGCCGACACTGGCAGTGAACTATCGCCACTCATTGGACTGATCTGAGGTTTCACAAGGATCCCGGCTGTACCACGCTTGATCGATTCAACACATCTCCATGTACGCTTTACTCGCAGCAGTGGTCGTGAAGGAAAGACCATGGCAGCTTCGCGCGACTGATCCAATGGATGCAGCTGCCGCTGCCGCAATGTCGACACTTCACCCATATCACTGCAATGCGCAAGCTTCTCTAGTACGTCACGTGTCTCCTCCGTCGTATCTCCTCTCTGCAACACCCCTCCATTCTGTAGCGGTGCAAGATCCTTCGTCAGCTCTGGCCACTGATACTCACGTCGCTGCTGCAGCAATCGCTGCTCCTTCTCCTGCACTTGCGCAAGCGCTTGGTCGTAATTCCAATGCCCCATCTCGGCCATCCGCTGGAGCCTGAACTTTTTCATCTGGTGCTCGCGTTGGAGCTCCTTCATCGAGTCGGCCAGCAGCTCGAGCGGACTTGTGCGACTGAACGCCGCGCCCGAGCTCAGCGACAGCGACCTGTCACTGGACAAAGAGCTCGACATGGTCGAGTAGTGCGAGTACAGGGCCTGGAACACGTCCTCGTGGACCGTCTGTCGCTCCCGCTTGATGGCCGTCAGGACGAGCGCGTCCGGGTCGTCATCGACCAGCTCCAGCTCCAGCGAATCCCACCGGCAGTGCGCGCACAGGAAGAAAAAGCACTGCCGGCGCTCGTGAAAGGCCACCGACAGCGCGTTCTCGCACGTGGGACAGCTAACGCAGCGGCTCGAGCGGTTCTGATACGTACTCGCCTCCTTGGACGGCAAGTTCACGAGCAAGTTCCCGCAGTAGTACGACTCAAACTCCTCGACGCTGCAGCATGGACGACGGCACACGAGTTTACGACACGTCTCACTGAAAAACAGAGCACTCACGGGCGCCAAGTGGCCGCAGGTGCACGCGTAGCGCACGCACACGCCGTCGACCGCGTCGTCGTCCGTGCCACACATGTGGGTGCGGTCGCCGTGCGACGGGGTGGGGCGGGGCGTGGCCGACACAATATAGCGCCCGTGGGCTCCGATCCGTCAAATGTTGCGCGACGCCAGTGAAATGTTGCGCGACAGGGCCACATCGAAAAGGCCGGGAAGCGATGGCCGAAGGCGAGCGCACAGCTCTGTCGTCGTCGTTCTTGTGCTCGCCGATCCCCAAAGACCCGTCGCAAGTCTTCTTCGTCGACAAGAGCAGCTCGGTGCAGGTACGTGTCGCCCTTGCACTCGTGGTCGATGGCGTACACGGACGTGCTTCTGGTCTCTTCCGTGTGGAAAAAAAGAGAGTGTCGCGTTGATGGACTCGCGTGTTGTACAGTCGCAAGGCGCATCGAGCGACAGTTTCATGGACGATGCAAAGGCGCCGTCGAAGAGCAGCAGCGCCGTCTCACCGGAGCGTGCGTCGCTGCCGCAGGGGCGTGAGCAGGAGCGGAGAAACAAAGGTGCGGCCGCCCGGGACGGCTTGACGACGGAACTGTCGCAGCAACAGGACTGACGGCGTGTTGCAACTACTGTGTAGCCAAACAGCAGGAAAGTACGGCGAGCGGCGGCGTGCGGGAGAAGAAGCGCCAGCGCCTTGCGACTGAGAGTTTCGCAGTGTCCAAGGTGAGGTACAGGCAGCTGAGTGGTGACGACGACGCTCGATCGACGGCTGATGCGTTTCGAATGTTGTGCGACGATAGAACCAAGAGCTGAAGCGAGAGGCGGACGTGCTTCGGATTCAGCTCGAGACCAATTCGCAGCGACATCAGATCGAGCTGAAGGAGCGAGACGTGCAGCTGGACCAGCTGCGCCGTCAGTTGAAGTATGCGGTCGCGGCAGAAGAAGGGACGATGAAGGAGATCAAGGCGATGACGAACGAATACTCGGCTGAGAAACTGCAGCTGGAGAAGAGAGTGGTGGAGTTGGAAGCGCAGTTGAAACTTGTAGAAGGGAAGCTGAATGAGTGGAAAGAGAAAGCTCTGGAAACGACTGATGAGTTGCGCATGCAGACAAGGCAGTCTGCCATGAAGGTAAGCGAGTAACGACACTCCGTTGAGCTGAGAGGACAATGGCAGTGGCTGATGTTGGTATATGATAGATCCAGCTTTTGCAAGACGAGCTAGAAGCTGCTCAAGACTCGTCGTCGACGTCCTCCCAGGTCCGTGCCAGCCAACCGTTTACCTTTCCGTACTACTCGTCTTACATCTACTCGCTGGTGCTCTCTCTCGTCAGAGCGAGGACAACATTCTCGAATCGAAGATTCGTTTGCTAGAGTCCCAACTCAAACAGAAAAGCGTAGAGGCTGAGCACATGGCATCCAGCATGCTTGGCGCACAAGAAACGATGGAGAATGCACGAGAAGTCCGGGAGCTAAATGAGCAGATCATGCAGCTGCAGTCGACAGAGCGCAAGCTTAAGGCTGAGGTGCGTATGTACTGCTGTTGATCCTGGAGAAAGAGTTGTTAACACGCGTTCGACGGTCTACAGTTGGTGGACTTGATCGAGGCGTCCCGATCGTCTTCTGTTTTGCAAGAAAAGCTGTACCGAATGACTCGAAAACTTCAGCAGAGCGAAGAACGGAACGCTCAGTCGCTCAAACGCATTGTATGTTGGTTGAGATAGTGCCGTGGTAGCGTAGCATCTGCGTATATAGTTTTGATCTGACTTGTTGGTGATGCAGGAGAAGGCAAAGCTTGTGGAGGAGGTACATAAAGAGTTCTACGACTACTTCGACCAGATTGTGAAAGAAGCAAAGAGTAAGTGTTTTTTTGCGTGACTTGAGAGACGTTGTTTACACGCTTCGTTTGGCCATTTGCAGCTAGTGTAACGCTGGACGACCTGCAACACCGACCGGCCGCAGCGGTGGTTGAGCTGTACAAAGCGCGTCAAAATGCATTCGAGATGCTGTTCGAACAAAAGAACAATGTGGAGATTCAGTGTCGGCGGCTAGAGAAGCGTTGCGAAAAGCTTCAGATCGATTTGATCACGTCCGGTAACAACTGTGCGAAACTTGAAATGCAGCTAGCTGGAATCCAAGAAAAGGTGAACGGGTCCAATGATGCGACAACACATTTGCGTAAGATCAACGCCGAGCTGGTAGAGATTCTCGAAACATATGGTAAGGATCTGGATGACGAAGCTGGGAATGAATACTCGTCAAAGCGAGTGTCCCTGCTGGAATCTGCACTAAAGCAGTCTGAAGAGTTGATAAAGGGCATGGAAGTTGCTCAGCAGTCGATGGCAACACCTGTTATTGTCAAAAAGTATGAAGCACGGATCGAGCGACTGGAGAAGGCGCTGGCTCATATTGAGCAAGACAACGGGTATCTGAGAAAGCATCTTGAAAAGGCCGAGATGGAGCTGGCAGTTTTTGAGAAGCGGCTAGGCAAAGGCGAGTTCAATGTCGAAACGACCAAGATTGTACATTTGGCCGTAAACCCAACACGCGAGCTGTTGCAAAGCAAGACCACGTCCAATGACGTTGAAAGTTTGCGTCGTGAAAACGAGGCACTGCGTGCTCGACTCATCAAGCTCACTGATGGCGGCGACGTCGAGGTAGTTTGCACTGAAACTAGTATCGCTTTACTGTTGCTGCTGTAATTGACGATTTCTTGCTCGTACAGTCCCCGGGTGTCTGCGACGAAGACAAGCTTACCACAACGACTTCGTATGACACAGTGGACGGTCTCAGGAAGCTCAACCAGCGCCTGAAGCAGGTATCTGATGTCACTTTGACGCTACACGTGTCGGCCTTTTCTAACCTGGAATACCATCGTGTGCAGGTGTTCGGCGATCAAATTCGGCAATATCGGGAGGCGGTGCACTTGCTCACTGGCTACAAGGTAGACTTGAAAAAGAGCAATGGAACGGAGTTGCTGCGCCTACGTTCCATGTACGCCGAGCACGACGACGACGAGCTGTTGATTCGCATGGAAGCCAGCGGATCGTTGGAGCTGTTGGACAGCGACTTTTGCTCGCGCATCAACCAGCGTGTTTTTGCGTATTTGACGACATGTCGGTCGTTCCCAGCCTTCTTGTCCACGCTCACGCTGCACTTGTTCGAGAAGCAGACCTTCCAGGGCAACTAGCAGTTCCAGTCGGCCCATTGTGCATGTTGTAAAATGCAGCAGCAGTTGGTGTGGTTTACCGCTCTCTGGTCTCTTTGTTTCGGCTTCTTGTCACCACATTGCACCGTCGAAGCGCGCGGTCTCGATCAGCGTCGCGCTATTTCTACTCGTTAGAGCGCTAGGTCTCTCCGCTCATCGGTATTTCTACTCGTTAGCGCGCCAGGTCTCTCCGCTCATCGGTATTTCTACTCGTTAGCGCGCCAGGTCTTATTCGCCGCGAACAGGTAAACACGGGATTGGATGTCACGCCGATCGTCCTGATGGAATTATGTGCGCACACAACGATCCCGAGCACTGACGTGCCACCGCACATTGACCACAACTCACTTTGCTTGGTCGTGCCTCCCTCTACCACGTCCGTCGCCATGCTCCACCTCACGCGCTTCAAGCAGACGGGTCTGCTGACACCGGTGTTACGCCGCTCGATGGCTTCGTCTTCGACCCGCATCGCGCAGTTTCCGTTCCTAAGCGAGTTGGGCCTCAAGGACGAGAATCACGGGGTATACAACGGCCAGTGGTTCGGTAGCGGGGACGTGTATACTTCAGTCAGTCCCGCGAACGGCCAAGCCATCGCCAGCGTCCGTGCCGGCACGACTGCAGACTACCAGAAGGTCGTGGCTGCCATGGACGAAGCCAAACCCCAGTGGTGCGACCTGCCGGCACCTGCGCGCGGAGAGATCGTGCGTCAGATTGGCGAGGAGCTACGGAACAAGCGCGAGGCGCTGGGCAAGCTCATCTCCCTGGAAATGGGCAAAATCTATGCAGAAGTACGTGTTTGCAATGTGTTTACTGGATCGCTCTCGACACTGTCACTCATGCGTCGTTCGGGTGCGTGTGTTTGTGTTTCTCTTAGGGCGTCGGAGAAGTGCAAGAAGCTATCGACATTTGTGACTTTGCTGTGGGACTCAGTCGTACCCTCAATGGATCTGTCATTCCATCAGAGCGTCCGGGCCACTTTATGATGGAACGGTACAATCCACTGAAGGGCCACGTCGGTATTGTCACGGCCTTTAACTTTCCCTGTGCAGTGCTCTTCTGGAACGCTGCACTGAGTCTTGTGTGTGGCAACACGCAGATCTGGAAGCCGTCCGAGTCGCTGTCGCTGACATCTGTAGCGTGTACGAAGATCATTGCGGACGTGCTGGAGCGCAACGGCCACGCAGGTGCGATTGCCTCGTTGATATGTGGCAGCGGTTCCGAAGTGGGTGAAGCGATGCTGCATGACAAGAACATGGAGCTCATCTCGTTCACGGGATCCACGAAAGTAGGCCGTCACGTGAACAAAGTCGTGTCGTCTCGCTTTGGCAAGACCATTCTTGAACTCGGTGGCAACAACGCAATGATTGTGGACAAGGACGCTGACTTGGAGATGGCACTGCGTGCAACGCTGTTCTCTGCGGTGGGAACGGCTGGCCAGCGCTGTACATCGCTCCGTCGTCTCTATCTCCACGAAGATATTCACGACGATTTCCTTCAGCGTCTCGTGTCTGCATACAAAAATGTCAAAATTGGCGACCCGTTGGAAGACGGCGTTCTCTGCGGTCCACTGCATAACACTGAGGCTGTGGAGAACTATCTGAATGGCATTGATTCGATCAAGAAGCAGGGAGGCAAGGTAAGGTTTTTGTATCACATGTGATCACATTGCCCAGTTTTGTGATCATAAGCGCACTGTGTTTGCGTGCAGATTCTCACTGGTGCGAAGAAGGTCGATGGTCACGGAAACTTTGTGGAGCCGACGATCGTTTCGATTGCTCATGATGCTGAGATCGTCCAGGTAAATGTGTGCTGTGATGCCTAATGTTTCTCCATAGTGTAGTACTGACGCATTTGTCCCCATGTAACAGACGGAAATATTTGCGCCGATTCTGTACGCTCTGAAATTCAAGACGCTGGAAGAGGCAATCGAGAAGAATAATGCTGTTCCGCAAGGCCTGTCTTCTTCGATCTTCACGAAGAACCAGTCGGCGATTTTCAAGTGGACGGGTCCACTGGGATCCGACTGTGGCATCGTAAACGTCAATATCGGACCCAGCGGTGCCGAGATCGGCGGGGCCTTTGGCGGCGAAAAGGAAACTGGTGGTGGTCGCGAGTCCGGCAGTGACGCCTGGAAGCAGTACATGCGTCGGTCGACGTGCACCATCAACTATAGCAAGGAGCTTCCGCTTGCCCAGGGAATCGACTTCAGCTAGATAGGCCACACCCGTGGACTCCGAATAGTGTCATCGGGCGTGGTAGACGCGTCAGCAACAAACCATGTGCATTTCATGCTGTCCAAGTCGTTCAGGAAAGCCCAAACTCCTCCGCACTGGCAACGAATGCAAACGAGAGGATCACAGTCGACGTACCCAAAACAAAACATTGTGTTGAGCGTGGCGCCAAATTGTTCTTGTCATTTGCGTCACTACTCTTGCTTATTGCCAACTGGTACTCGGCTGCTTTCTATACGATCTATTGAGTAGCTCTACTCGAGCTCAACCCCGATGAGTCAGCAACTTTGTGGGTTGTGTGCGTTTATGGGGCGTGGAACTTCGTCCAAAGTACAGCAAAAACGCACTTCGATCTCATGCGTAGCGCAAGGGCAGAATGCACGTTGAGCCGTCGGTGTGATACATGGCCAACTTAAAATGGTAACAATGTTGCAGACGCTCCTGACTTGGCAAGTGGCGGGTGTGGTGATTGAGTAAGCACTTCTGTCGCTTCTTTTGTTTGCGATCAATTGACGTTCGACTAGCACAGCAGCTTACTGGCGTGTGTTGTTTGCAGCCACGCGTTTTACCAGCTGTCGAGGGCATACGCCCGGCTACATCCTCAGTTCTAGCTTCCTCGCGTCTTTACTTGAGGGGCAATCCCTAGATCCAATGACGTTCAACTACTGGTGAGACTCTAGTGGCTCACCTGATAAAAACCGAAATGTGGTTTGGATACTACGTCGGCCATAGCTGTCCAGAAACACTTACGGGATCGGATAGTGTTCCAGGTAAGAACATGGTCCGTATACCGGTACTTTGCTGAAACTATAGCTGAACATGACACCAGCACAGCTCAAGCAAACGCGTTTCGGCACCGTTTACGATCTGATCGGCTTGTAAATTCAGGTTCATCGTGCATGAGCTACAATATCAAGCCAAATAAAAAACCAAGATGGCTGCACAACGCTGCCACAGATTTAGAAACTCAGCTCTCGTCACGTCCGTCCATGCGTTCCGAATTCGACTATCCGCGATGTCATACCTCAGACATCAACGCTTGCACACAAATGAATCGGCAACAAAGGCGTTCAACTGTCGCCGGTCTCCCCCGGTCAGGACACCTGCGAACAGACGTCGTCTTAGAAGATGTCGTCTTAGAAGAAGGGGTAGCGGAGTTATACCAGCTTTCTTTCCAGAGGAAGACCAAAGCTTAGCGACACTTAGATATTGAACATGAACACTATTCGACGTGTTTACTAGTGTAAAGAACAATGGAATAAGAGTCAACTAGTTCAGAGAACAACAACTCTTAGAGCCAACTAGTTCGGAGAACAACAACTCTTAGAGCCCACAAGCTCACACAGGTTCTAGTCCTGGGCAAAGGTACTTGCGATTCAGTGAATCTGCAGCACGAATAGCTTAAGAACATAGTTATGCCTTCGTAATGCCACAATCTCTAATGATTCAAGACGCCTCAACAAGGCACGTGCCTTTTATTGATTAAAAATCGAACGGATGTTCATCTAATTTTTAGCACGATGATAAATTCATTTAAGTACGTAAAGGTAAGGTTTTACTGTCCTTAAGTAAAGAAGGCTGAGACGTATCTCTAAGGTGGCCGAAACGCCTCAGTCTACAGCAACCGTACTTAGAACTACACCGAACTATTCAAGGGGCACACCGCAGGATACACGCAACTACATAGAACGAGACAGACAAAGTAGACCAAACGCTTTCTGGTATTGCTAACAAATGTACCTGCTAAAGGATGTACCTGCAAGGTCTGAGATCCGTAGACGCCAGTTCATGGTGGGACTTACGTCCACGATTATGGTGCAAGTGGTATGCATATTCGTGCAAGCTGCGGATCGGCAATGGCTGAACAGTATCTCCTTATAGATGAAAATGTGCCGCACGCTACAGATGGCGTGAAGCTTACCGATAATTATTGCTCATCCTCTTTCACTACGAGCGCAAGCCAAGACGTAGCTGATGGCTGTCGGAGTTATCTCGATTTCAATCGGCGCGACCGCCATTGTCTTCATGGTGACACCAACTGTGACGATATTGAGGAGATCGACGGCACCATCGATGACCATCGACTTACTGACGTGCGCTGGTCGGCATCTGTCTATACTGAGGTGTCAACTATCAACTTTCTACATTTTCTACAATCACGCCTATCTGTTTGCGAAGCCTCTTATCCCTTTGATCGCTTTGGAGACGGAGATGATGAAAAAAATTTGACCATTTGTTATAGAGGGATGAGGTTGAGCTGGAGCAGGAAGCTAAGTTCGAACAGCTGTTTGTCGTCATCCCCATGTCGATATTGGAGCTTAGTATTCACATCAAGTAGAATGACAATAATCAGCCAAAGCTGAGCAAAGACGAGACTCGAGAAGAGATTCGAAACGACAGAAGATGCAGTAGGGCTGCTCTGGCCTTCGTGTCAAATGGGTTTCTAAACTTAACAAGTCGATTGAGCTCAGGCTGAAAAGCGGTCCTCTAGAGAACAAACGGCGGCTTGCGTTACGAAGTAGCGCTCATCCATGCACCTGAGGAAGGCACGTACTTTTGAGAGCAAACAACAACAGTCTTCAACATAGTCGACACACGAGTGCTCAATGTCAACCGCCTGATGAAGGCTGACATTTCTTTGCGTGATACGTGAGCTCATTCATATTCTATGTCATATTTGTAGCACAAGCCGCCACCTACATTCGGCTATCATACGTCATTACTTGCTCGAACGACGAACCGTTGATAAACATATCGATTGACGTCTGTCAGACACCAAACGCTGATATTGCTGTTCTTAGTGCGACATTGACTCTCAAGGGTATCCGAACCATGATCGAAGAGATGGCAAAGTACTGCGACCGCACTATGTCCGTTACACATACCTCCAAAGAAAAAATTCTGCTGCACACGCATTTGGGCAGACGCTAGGCGGGACAAACACGCCTTGCCGATTTATACGGGTTACAACACTACCATGGAGCTCCAGTCCGTTTCATTGCATGTTGTAGTGACAGTTGCTTATGATCATTAGCAAGTTACCAAACATGCTACTCTGCTGTAAGCTTGACCTCCCGGAGCCACAACGAATCAATGATAAGGTCATTTACGCTTCTAGTCAGCGAGCCATTACGTGCTGGGTGAAGTGGGCTTCTTTGGCGGCGTGCGATTGCCGTCATCATCGCAGCATACGAAGGTTGCGCACGGAGTAGGCCTGCCCTGGCAATAGAATTGTGGGTGTACAACAGCGCCACGGCTTGCAGAGCCGAAGGCAAAAACGGAGGCAGTGATCAACAAGGCGGTCCTGGTGTTCATCTTGGCGACGATGCGGGGTGGACTGCAGTGGGCTTGGCTTGGCAAATGGATGGATGACCTGGTATGAAAGTTTTGCTTGGAAGTCAACACGACCACCGCACAAGCCATCGGAATCGTGTGAGAAGACATGGACATGAACGCGAGCTATGCAATGTAAAAGACAAGCACGATCGCATGAAGACTGATGATTTAGCGTTGCGCAAACAAAATCGGTAGTAGTGGGTTGTGATCAGACCAATCCACGAGCGTGCATTCGGCCCAGCTCTCACTCGATAGCAACCCTTAAGAGCTAGAAAAGCCCCACGCATGCGTAGATGTAGCGACAGGATGGGGAATCTGTACAAGCAGCATACCACAAAGAGAGTACGCACCTTCGCGTAAACACCATAGTCGCATCGCACAAACAAGCAAAAGATTGAATTTCTGAAACCAATTGTCTATGCGACTCGGATTCGCGTGAGCCTGTAAATGTTGTCCTTCCAACTTGTTATCACTTCGCATTTAATGTCGTCTATTTGTGCACCTGCCACGACCATTGCCTCGATTGAATATGCCTCCATCGTCACAAGCTTGTATCGTCTGACGCAACTGCATTTCAAGCCTATGCTGCTACTGAACGATTGATCGGTATAGCCCGCCCAATGTCTCGCAGGAAAACGAAATGCACGAATTGGTTGTTACCAGTGCGTCGAACGAATACAAAGGTCGGTGATCTTTGTGCGGGAGGTGTAGCCACTGCCGCGCACGTTTATCGAAAATCCACGAGCGCCAGTAGAGTTCACGTGACGATGTGCCGCCTTTCCCCTTCTCGATCGCATACGAGGTGTAAGTGGGCAATGGCCTACCATCGGGACCGGACGTAACCCACCGCCTTTACGCTAAATGGATAGACCACTCCATGTGACACTGATTGTCGGGGGAACGATTGTGTAAGATCAGAGTTTGACCGTAATGCCTTGCCTGGACACGCGAGATTCTGCCGTACATATCTCTACCGCAACAAACAAAAGGAGAGACTGACTGATACACATCAACCAACGTTGGAGCTGAAAAGCATACTCGCTCTTTAGCCAAAGCGTAAGAGATCGCGAGGTGTCAGCACCACCGCGCCAAACGCCTACTTACGCCGTTTATAGAAGTATCGAACTGAGTACGGCACGATCACGTCTGCTGCATGGACTCGATCTGAATCGAGGCAGACAGCACCTTGTGGGGTGTACCATGTTGTGTCGGGGCTTCCTCTGTACCAGGTCAACGCACGAGGAGGTGGGTGGAACAATGCTGCACATCAGGACTCAGTGCAGGCCTCTTGTCCATCCGCTGAATTGACAGACCTTTCCTGCTACAACTGGCCACGTATGGGCTGCATCACAGCGTGGAGGTTAGATCAATAGATTGCGTGTCGCAAGTGTCCATTGGAGCCACGAAAAGTACCTGGTCGAGCGCCATGCTGTGCTTGTCCGCAACAGCACCGCAACACGATGGTCGTTCGCCCTCTCGTCGGTGTCACTATCGCGTCTTGCACTCAGTCTGTCGCTGCCTGTGACCGAGTCTTCTGAGTTCGGACAAGACATGCGGCTTGCACATGGTGGATCTAGAGAGCCCGACCTCAACGACACTCAGTTGGTCCACTCTGACGGATTTCATGTCTACAATCGGGTAGCCAC